AATAAACGCCTATTGGAAATCGACTCGGATCATCTCTACTCTGAAGAAGAGGAAGACGCAGAAACGATAGCCACTATGGTTTTCTAATAGCATCCTCGTGTAAGCTCATGAATAGAACAAAGCGCTGATTAGTGTCTCCGAGGTTAAATTAAACTCGTTTTCCAAAATTACAAAATAAGGAGTTCAATATATTCTTAGTGTTGTACCCTATTTTTTAATACGTATCCATTATTTATTTTACGTGACATATCATGAGATCTACTGTGAGGATCCCAGCACTCCCTGCATTCACTTGCTTCACAGTTACTGGCCATAAACTTCTTCCAATATTTCGTCTATTGTTAAGGCTGTTCGCAAAGAAATTCGTCTTCCTTACCAATGTTGTAGGAAGCTGGTGGAGCCGATTTGCGTTGAAATCTTAGAGATAGCCGAGCCGAGGCGTTCCTACGTGGATTGGAGGACAACACTGTGGAGGGTGTTCGAACCAGCAACTCTCTTCATCTCCTAATTCCATTGACGATTATGAAAAATTTTTACATAGCTTGCTTCACAACATCCAGTAAATGCGAGAATATTCTGTCATTTATCACCACTGACCAGCAAAGGTTTCTCAGTTGGACTGTGGAACGAGGATGGCAAAATCCGCTCCATTTTCAGTCAAGTGTGCATCTACAGTGTAGCAAGCGCATCTGTGATGTTATCAACCCACTAGCAAACTTTTAACTCCCCAAATTTTCATGCAGAGCATGGCTAATTTTTTGACTACCAATTATTCGTTGATGTAAACATCAGTATTGACAAACTATGTTGTTGTACAAGAAATCCTATTTGTACGATGGACACCGAATTGTTGCGCTTTTTGATTCCTATTTGGTTGACAGTACTGATATTGCAATATTCCATGTATGGTCCGTTTTGTAAAATTGTATAAACGTGGACAAAGTGCTCTTCTATTTCCCACAGGGAACGGTGGGCTAGGGACGGTGATATGAGTGCACTTGGTTAAATCCCACTAACATGTTTCTTCATGGTTATTACAGCTGGCTTGAGAGAGTCATGTTATCCGTGTGATATTGAAGTGTCCTAAATTATTTTGCTAAACTTTCTAGATATCAAATACCATCCACTCTCTAATTTAACATTTTGCAGGCTAAGTGATGAATTATCTGCATTTGACTGCTACTTAACTGTTGTTTAATGACTAACAATAGTTGGGCTTTTTTTCTCCAAATGACATTCGCTCAAGATTAGCAAGCATATTCAGGTGATATTTTTATTTCATTATGAGTTCCTAGAAATCGCCTTTTTTCCAAGAACTTTCAAACACCTTGCAATTTGACACCGACCACCAATTCCCACTACTGATAGATTTGATTGAGCCATTAATGCCACCGCGTATTCTCCTGTGGGTGGCGGATGAGCCCGCGCCTAATTTCATGTCTGTTAAGGAGTCGTTGGTTTTTCGACAATAGACCATAGGGTTTCATCTAGAGAGTATGAGTAGTTGAGAAGATTCCAGTACTATAGAAGAAACATTGCTGTTGTATGATGGTTAGTAAATACTCAATGTCACTATGATTCGCCATACAAATGCACTGCTGTCAGCATGGACGGATATTAAATGCGTGGACCGTAGCACCAATGAGTTAAAAATATCAGATGTTAGCTTTCTTAACTGTGTCTTCTCGATTTTCCATCTCAACTACAAAGCTGGTCGAGAAGTTCTGGCGATGATCAAAATTAGTTTTGCGTGGAGATATGCGACTTCTGCGAATTAATTTTCCACGCTAGAATTACTGTAGTCTAAAGAGTACTTTAACCGCCCTGGTTGATCTAACATCGTAGTTGAAGCCATTGAAAACCATTAAAGTGTGTTAACGCCTTCATGAAATCTATTAAATCAAGTTTCTAATTGGCCTTATGACGCCTTTGTAAAGTGTTTGTTTTTTACGATTTTTAATCAGTAAAGTCTCATTTGCTGTTATTTCCTCCACACCACATTAATATTACTCCATTACCTTCAAAGATCGTGCCATTATGGCATCCTCGGTCTACAGTGAATTATTTTCTAACAGATATTATATCAACAAAAATCACTTACTTTCTTTTATTAAAGTACAATGTATCCTGCCATAAATCTTCATGGGTTTGCTGATAAGTTCACACGAGGTTATTATAAATCATGGATAAATACTGCTCATTGGTGCCGAAGTTCAATGAACACCGATGTTGAATAGAGTTCTTCATAGTAAGATTACCTGAATACTTGAATGAACCATCTCTAAGAATCACATGGTATCGTTTAAATATCAGCGGAATACAACGACGATGATCCTGAGATATTTGCAAAACTGCAAACCCCAGGTATCTGCGGTGAGGAGCGAACGCGCTACTACCCTTTCCGGGGTCTATTGCATTCACCACCACACCATGCTGACGATTCATTTCGTCTATCTCTAAGCTAGCTGTATCGCTCAGCTTAATTGGGTTCAATGCCGATTAGGGTCTCCCGCATCAATCTCGTTAACGGGTGATTGCTGTTGGTACTGATCGATAGAACTAGCTGAGAGACAGACGAAACGAAGGACCCACATGGTGTGGTAGTGAACGCTTTAGCCCCTGAAAGGGTAATAGCGCGTTCGTTCTCCACCGCAGGCACCTGCACTTTGAAGTTTTGCAAATATCTCAGCATCACTATGGCTGTATTTCGCACAGTACCTTGTCGTGAAAATTGCAGCAAGCAGCAAATAAAAGTTAACATTGTGATATAGTGCATAGATATATAACAACGGAATAATTCACTTGACTGTTAATTTGCTGTTGGAAGAAATTTTTTCAGCGCAAATCTTAAAAACCATACTGGAGCTTTTCCTAGATTGTAGTCACATCCCACGCTTTCAGCAATACTGCGAGCTAGTTTAATAGTAGGTGAGCACGCGAATGGTAATGCCGTTCTACTTCTTAGCTTGAGAGACCGTGCTGACTGTTACAGACCTGTCGCTGTGCGTCGTAGTTCGAAACCCACAAGTATCCACTTACATAGGAAAAGAAGACGAACCACTGAAGATCATATTAAGCTTTAATCATTAGGTATAAAATCGTACAGTATGCTTATTTTCACGATCTCCGCTCTTCGTTTTCCATGTCAGAAAATCTCATACATTGCGAAAGCGCGCTTTTTTATATTCATTAGATCATCAGTTATCTCAGTTATTTGTAGGTACTTTTCTTATCTTTAATGAGTTGGCCGTGCATTCCAGCACCGTGAATAAAATGAGTTCTATAATAGCTTTACTTCAACAGGCGAAAAATTAGGCATCATCCTATGGTTCAGTGACGAAATGTTAGTACTAACGATATACCGTTTCGAAGGCCAATTCCTTTATCAAACTGCTAAACACCAAAGAGCTCCAGCCGTCGCTTTAAGATAGAGGGCGAAAAGTCCATTAAAATTTAAAGTGAATTTAGGCAAATATCGGTCACGTTCTTGTAATCGACACAACGAGCAATCTTTTCGTCTTCATTGCTTTATCCTCCTGAAATCACCAAATGTTGGTCGTGTTCCAACAAGTTTTCGATGCAAGAAAGAAGTCATTCAGAATAGTTCGAATGCACTGCGTTTCTATTTTGATCTATAGTTCCTTTCTACAGTTTCCGGCATAAGATTCATCCGTTCTGTCGAGAATATTCTGTTAAAAATTTCAAAAGTTGTTAAGTTTCTTTTTTCCCGATTTTCCTCGTCGTCAAAGTCCAACCGATATGTAGCATATTTAGAAAGCCCAATGTTCTAAAATTCGTGTCATTCACTGATAATTCGAAAGGTTATAAATGGGTTCTGATCAAGAACGATAGTCAACACTTCTGGCCATTCTGCTGTTGATGTTTTGTGCTGCACTCAATCCGTGAATATTATCGCTCGAATAAACGTTACCTAGCCTTGTACCCGGTGATAGTAACGTCCTAACTAACAAGTGGTTGTTCAAAACAGTCAAGTACGTTTTTTTTGAATGGGTTCGGAGATGATGTTTTCCCAATTCTGTCAATCTGGTTGTGCACCAACTGGAAGACAAACATAAAGTGTCCGATAGCCGTACTTTGTATGGACTCCACTAAATTGGTTAGGTTAAGAACGCTTTAGTTACCTCAATTTTTGACTTAAAAATCTGTGCTATCATCAATTCATGTCCATTACACAACAGGACTAGGATTCTTCATCACTGGCTACTAAAGGGAAGTATGCTAATGCTACTTTATACACAAATCTCATTGGCCAGACAGAAAGTTTGTCATGAAAGCTATTTCAGTGACGTTGGAGAAACAACAGCTTCTTCATATACTAACAGTTTTCTATAATCTGCTTCCACTGAGGCTTTCACGTGGGGACCAACCGCATAGGAGTCTAAAACGTCGGCTTGTAGAACTCTTGAGGCATTTTGACAAATTACAAGAATACAGAAATGAAACGCAGAGAGGATGCATCGTTATCATTCGTGATCACAAACATCTGTCAAACTGACGCTTTAACATGAGACAGGTACATTACCTATTCATATGGACTCTATCGACTAAAATTTAAAGGTCATGGCTCTTCTGTTGACGTTATGGAAGTATTTGGTTGACTGGATTACAATCAACTTGACCTTGCTATACTTCGAAAAACGCGGAACTAGCCGCAATGCATCATCTACTCAGTTACTATTAAAAAAGTAGTGTCCTTCTTGTGTATTCATCAAGAAAATAGCGAAAGAGAAAACAATATTCCGTGGCTCAATTCTTGATAGTTTCTAGAGTCTTTGTTGATTCAGGAGGATAACACATGCTATTTGCGGAAAGAAAAAACCATTAACTGGGTTACTTACCATCCTCTCGATGTTCTTTTATATTTTGTATTAGTTAGCATCAGCATCGCTTCGTTTTGCACTGCACTTGATCTATTCGCTATCAGTAATGTGGAGTATGTGTCATTGTAGGAGAAGTGCACTCTCTAAAAATTTGTCGTCATGATGAAACTTCCAGATGTCAGAGCAGCCGACCTAGTGATGGAAAAGACTGATCGCCTCTTGCTCGGCGCCTCTCTAACGATTATCTCACTATCCTTTCTGATTATATACATACCAGTTCTGGTGGTGAATAGTTTCTTTCGTGATTCATTATTATTTCCTGTTATGTAATGTATAAAACAAAACTTCTAAGTGCTGTCGTGTTTAGAAGAACTACTACCAGGCCACATTGAAAATCGCACTAAACATTACCTCCGTCGCCATTCTCAAACGTTTCATACAAAGGCATTAACGTGTAAATAAGGTGATGAATCCACGGATCCTCCTTGTCAATTCCACTAGACAATTCTGGAGCGTTGACGTCGATTAAGCAATATCTCTTAGTGGATTATGTCAGGTTGCTAAAAAAATTATCTATTTTGGGAACAAAAGTTCCAATAGTGACTTCTAAACACTACGGCGAGTTCTGTGTGCTTAGAGTGGTTAGCTAATGCACACTCCACTGACAGTGTAAGGCTCAGTCAATGAAAAGAATAGTGGTTTCAGGTTTTCTTTGCCAACAAGGAGTTCCGCCGTGCTTGGGGATATGTTATCATGATGCATATCGGAGTAACTGACGTTATGCAGTTGATGATCCATGCATACTCTGGAGTGCTGGTCGCCACTGACATTAATCTTGACATGCACACCGAGAAGGTATGGTAGCAAAAATAAGCTGTGTGAAAACGGTGGCTAGAACAGGTGTTGCAAATATTTACAAACATGCTAGACCACATTGCTTTAACTTTTATTTGCTGCCTATTCCTTCTTCAATTCAAGGTATTATGTGAAATGCAACCACGAGTATGCTTAGATACGAGCAAAACTTAGTAACTCAGGAGGCATTCAAACTCACGATTACCCTTTCGGAGCGTCCGAGAGTTCATGTGTTTTTCACTCCGCCAACAGAGGCCCTTGCTTTGCCTTATCTCAATCAGCCTTTTACCCTAATTGGAATGTAACAAGAATAGATGTTACGTCTCACTATTATTATTCCGTGACCAGACATCATATTTATAGTACTATACCGATCTGAACACCTGTTGCATTCGATTCGTTTCTTTGCACCGACTATCCACGAAGGACTACGAACTTTTTTGTGTGTGGCTTCAGTTGCTACTTGAGGATGTTTTATTCTTCGTCAGGAATATTTTTGAATGCTGGTGCAGTCGACTCCACTTGGACTCCTGAGATAGACGTGCCAAGGCTTCTCCACTTGGACTATAGGGATGAACTCGCGCCAGGCAACTGTGGTACCGAGAAGGATAGCAGACTTGGTAACCTCGCAGCGCTGTTGAACTAGCACCTCAGTAGGTTGGGCAGCTCGTATAATGAAGTGGTCACTACTCCTGCGATACCGACTTCGTGTAAAAAATGTAAAATATGTCTGAGGTATAAATAATAATAGTAATAGTTCGTATATAATGCTGAGATATTTGCAAAACTCTGGACCGCAGGTGTATGCACTGGAGAACGAACGCGCGCTGTTGTCCTTATCGGGGAGCAGTGCACTTCACCACCACACCATCCGGGTCCTTCGCTTTGCCTGTCTCTCAGCTAGTTCTATCGATTTTTTTGCCATCAGCAATCACCCGTCAACGGGATTGAACTAGCTGAGAGACAGGCAAAGCGAAGGACCCGGATGGTGTGGTGGTAAAGTGCGCTGCTCCCCGGTAAGGACAACAGCGCGCTTTCGTTCCCCACCGCATAAACCTGGGGTGCGGAGTTTTGCAAATATCTCAGCATTATATACGAGTTATATTTCGCAACATACCATGCCATTAAAAGGTAAAAGGCAGTAAATAAAGGGGTTAAATTAGTAATAGTCACAATGTTGCCGAGATATTTGCAAATCTCCGGACGCTGGTGTCTACGGTCGGGACCGAACACGCTATTACGCTTTTAGGGGGGTAATGCGTTTACCACCAACTCCTTCTCTTCGCCTGTCTCTCAGCCGTGTTATTCACCTATAGACGCTATCAGCAATCACACGCCCACGAGATTGATCTGAGGAGCACAAATGGGCATAAACCCGGTTTAGTTGATGCTATGGCATAAATCTCAAAGTCGTTAAATTTTATTTCCTGCCTACTAATCCTTAATGGCACGGTATTATTTCAAGTATAGTAGTAGTTATGCATAAGTCGTTATAAAATGCGAATACAACTTGCTAAGAGCAGTGTTAAGCGCGCCCACATATCTCATGGGTGGTTTACGATAGTGTTAGGGATCTTTTGGAAGGCCACTCCACTTAGGTGTTATTCAAAGGCCTTATCGTTTTTGTAGGATGCAGAAGGTAGATATCTTTGAATATCTAATAATCACAAGATGGTATCGTATTGCTGAATTGAAATTATTGTTCAAATATCTGTTGCTGTGTTCTCTCAAACACATGTACGATACATATATAGACTGAAACGATGGAACCTTTCACTAACATCATTGAGGCCTTGGGTAGATATGATAATATTCAACAAGCTAAAGTACAACCTTATAAATCTATTTCCAAAGAAGCATTATTTTAATGGTTGCGGTAGTCTTTTTTTCTCCGATTTTCATGGTATGCGAGGTGCTCATGGTGTTCATGGTTCATGATGAGATATTCGTGCCACTAGTCTCTGGGTACCGCAGGGAGGAATCCCATCCTGCGGTTGAGGGTCTGTTAAGAGGACAGGAATTTTTCACGTCTACCTACTCTCAGTTGAAATCTTTGATAGGTGGCGAATAGCACTGTCGTAATGATGCCGATCACCAAGCGCATAGTGCGGACTCGATCTCGCTAGGCCCACCAAGCCTCTCAGCCTTCCAGGGTCGGAGAATTGGTACCGGACTTGTCCGAAGGAAAACACTTTTTGCAACTTAATAAAAACGCTACATCTCGGCTATCTCACGAATTAACTCAGAATAAACTCGACCAGCATTCTACGATATTAAAGGTGAAATGAAAATCCTCAAAAAGGAGCTGAAACCACGCATGAAAGTTGGATGACTTTCGTGGATAATGGATGCGAGGAAACAAATCGACTGTGAGAAGTGCTGGCATCTGCACAGCAGACGTGAAGACGGATCATATAAAATAAAACAAAATAAAAAAATAGATGGCTTTTTTGATGGAAACACTGACCGGTTTGGGTGTGTGTCTGGAGGTGACATCTTTTTATGCCTCACAAACATCCATTAATACACAATACCTTTATAAAGCAGTAAAGGATAAAGTAGAACGGTGGTACTGATGTGTATTCTTTCATTGATAAGCTAACTCAAGGTTGTTACCAAACATTTATTCCGCTAGTGTTTCGACTTTCTCGTCCTCCTCAGTGCCGACGATCCGACTCGTTGGTCGAAAGTCAGTCGCACTCTCGATGTGGGGTCTTCGCTGTAGTGTCGAGTCGCATATTCTTCAGTGAGGCACTGCCTGATTGAGGCAACTTCATTCGACAGCACTCTTTTATGCAGGACAGTTTTTGGTGATACTGATTGGTCGTTGGTAATAGTTTGTTTCTCAACAGAGAAGCGGACAAAGATGAGACGACATGAAAAACATCCATACCGAGGTTGAATGAAGGTTGGTTTACAATAGTATAATGATGACGGTAATTTAAAATGTTGCTCAAGACAAAATGCCACAAAGGTGAATAATCATGCAGTACTCATTGCGGTTACTTTTGGTTATATTAACGGTGAACTGTTGACGCAGTCCATCAGGAACCAAGGTGCTGATTCGACCCTCTTTGTAACGCCTTTGTCCAATCGAGGGGGAACGATTTAGCCCAGCTATACCAGGTCACTAAGAAGAATCGACTGGGCCACGATTCAACCAAATTCGTGAGGAAGCCGACAATCCTCAACCAGACGCGGTGACGAAAACGAATCGAACGAAAGAAGTGCTGGGATTCGCATTGTAGGTGTGATGATGGGTCATCTAAAATAAAAAGCAAAAAAATAATAATGATACCATTTAACATTTAGTTCAGGCGGTTGGAGCTGTTCTTACTGGGCTGTGGTTTATAACGTTGGCTTTAACACTGTTCTTAACATTGAATCGTCTAACGACGATACTACTAAGCCGATGGTTTCCTGTGGTCACATCAATGACACTCACTTACGTGAGCTTTCTCTACGTTTGTTCGCTCCCAAATTACTGTATAGAACTGATAAACCTGTTTTTAATCCAGGTATTCCATCTCGTTCTCTCTAATCAATGCATTTTTGCTTCCAGGCTTTGTTCATTGTGTGCTACATTAGTTTTGCAGTACCGTTTGCTCTGAAATTACTTCCAAACTGCAACTATATATTCTTCCCTGAATCTTTTTCGTGGGAATTCCTGCCTACGGATAGTAACGTTTCTGTTGTTTTAAGTACTATAGGTAAGTAACAATTTGTTAATTGTTCCCTACTAAATCCATGCGTTTTTTTTGGACTGGTGCCAAAAGTTTTTAGGAAATTATCTCCTATTGGCCATCGTCATTCTATCTGTCATAACATATACCTCCATATTCGGTTATTTGGTATGCTTTGTAAGTCTTTCATACAGAGTTTATAAGAAGATTAATAGCGTTTACTTCTGGGAAATTTTCAGAATCCGGAAAAATTGAGCAAGCACGAGTACCGTATCACAATCCAGGTAGCTTCATTTCCCATTAAACCCTGGTTTTAATTTGTCTCATGGTGTTTTAAGTGCCCACTTTAGTTTTATTTTCAAAATGGTTTTAAGACGTACGTGTGAGGAAAAATGCCGAAGGAAGAAAATATCCTAATCGTCGATGGTATTCTTTCAAAAGTGCGTTATTTAGGCTTCTGTGATAATCTTTTATTTTCTTCTATCCTTTTTATATTGGACTTATCTGATGCCTATCCTCGGCAAATCCACTATATACAAATACGTCTCGTGTTTGTTATGGGTATTTATGAATGGAATTCATCCCCTAATATATCTCACCTTTAACGAGTAAGTTTTCATATGACAAATCAACAGGGTTACACTACTTCTGACAGTTCCGTTAGTTTTTATAACTCGCCAGTAGCAAAGGGTGAAAATCTCAAAACGAAACCTACATAACCATCGTCTTGTATTATACTTTTGAGACTCACAGATGACCGCACTATTTTCTAGACATCTCGTGTTCCAGTACTGAACTGGGTGGGAGGAATGCTAAGTTAAGGTCGAAATTTTATTTTCGCTCACAGTAAAATCTAATAGTGTTGAAACGAACCAACAACATAGGATCATTTCAGGAGATTGCGGTCCTATTTCATAACGATGGTCCAACATCTCACAGTTTCTCTAAGGTCTCCCAGTGTTGCGCGGACGGTCGTCGTCGTGAAGTTCTAGATGGTTCAACCATGCTCGTTCCTCTTCCGTTAATTTCTGGGATCGCACTTCGATCTAGTACATGTTGGTATTGTTTCATTTGGATAGACGATTTGGCTTAAGGAAGAATGATGCCCTTCAGCTCTAAGCAAAATGATTTCAGTTTAATAATTTTCAGACCAATCGTAATTTAACCTCGATATTGATGATTAGCTTGAAAATGCAAGAAATTTTTTCTATTTAACTGATATGTGCTGGTTTCGACAATATTGATAAACCGAGTTCCTGAGTCGTTCCTAGGTCGTCAACAATGATTTGAGAAAACAGGATGTGAGGCCTAGGAGTGAGATTGGTT